AGAGATGTGTTGTCTCACAGTTCTGGTGCCTACAAGTCCAGGATCCAGGATCCCTCTCAAGATACTAGGGAAGAGTCTGTGTCAGGCCTCCCTTGTAGCTTCTCCCTGGATTGTGACAGCACATGCAGGCCTTTTGCTGGAAAGGGGTGACCACTGCCAATTCCATTGTGTTACAATGTCTAGTGTCTGAACAGCATGGAATGTGACCTCCTAACTAATTACATTTGTAAAAGCTGTATTTCCAAATAATGGCCAAATTCTGAAATAATAGGGGTTAGGACTTCAAAGCTCTGGGGGTGAAGGGGAAGGAGGGCACACAATTCAGCCATGACACTGAGTAGCAGAATCATTGTAAGAAAACCAGCAGGAATTTTGCAGGGAGTTGCTTGCTAGTCCACAGTTCTCCCATTTCATAGCTTAGCACATGGAAAGGCTGAACAGCTTTCAAAGTGGGAGGTAATTTTTGAACACAGGTTCTGTGAGTACATAATCTGTCCTTTACTCACTCCCACCACAGCTTGCTGAGGGTACCCAGACCAGCCAAGTCAAATAGGAAAACACAGACCCCAAGTCTTGGCTAGAACAAGTTCTGTGCTTATCACCTGGACAATTTAACTGATGTGAAAGGGCTGGATTTGATGAATACCAAAAAGCATGAGCAAATGTGACTGCCCAGAAAAGCGTTTGACATTTTTTGGAGGAAAGACATCATTCAATCATTCCTCCTTGCTCCAGTACAACACTCCAGGCAGTCCAACGCTGTGCCTTTTCAGATCTTTGGGGGAATGCAGTTAGCAAGGGATTGCATGTTGCTTCAAACCAAAAGAGACAGAGTACAGCTTTCCCACCCTTCCTTGAATCAATGTGGCTATTTTCCAATATTAATAAAAAGTTCTGTTTCTGCAAAGCTAACCTCAAACTCCATTCTCTATCCTGCGTTCCAAGGATTTGATGACAAACTTGGCATACTAAATTTTACTGATCCAAATCAACATTGAACAAAAGAAAACCCAGTGCCCTATGGTAATACAAGAGCATGATTATTTTTGGACTGAAACCACTTAACACAAGCACAGCTGTGAAGGTCTCGTTCTACTTCCAGAAGATCATCTATATATTCCAAATAGTATCCAAAAGTCATAGAAATCAAGCTCAGACAGCATTATTAATATGAAATAAAGTTATGTCACACTTGGTTTTCAAAGATAGTAAATCCACCAACACCGGTCAAATTAAATAAATATTTGAAATCTGAAGTTAATGTCTAGGAAGGAGCCAGGAAAAATGAAAATTGCAAAATCTGGTTTAGGAAAAAAAATGTTGTTTCATTAGTTTTCTCCATGATCATTAAAGACTAACTATATATGGACTGCAGATGCACTATTTCTTCAACCATGAAATTTCTACCTAAATTGCTAAGGGTAAATACATAATCCCATGAAACTGACTCACAATGGGGAGGTAGGGAGCTATAATGAGCTTCGGGAAACACCCAATCTGATCTTGTCACATCCCTGCTTAAAGATTTCACTCATTTTATGATGAATTTAGGGGACATTTCAGAAAGCCTTTAAGAAAAGGGTCTCTTGTCTGCTCGTCAGCTTCCTCTCTCAACTCCAGGCAGCCCTACCTCCCTCACCCTCCCCCAGGCCCATCACACCACAGTCCTCCCTCAGGGCACACTGTCCATGTGCTGTGCTGTTTTCTAGAAGTCTTGGGTGTGTTCATTCCAGGGCTCAGGTTTCCATGAAACAAGTATCTGAAAGGGGTTGGGTGCTGGTTTGATGTGGTCATGGGTGTTGCAGCTATTAGGTTTTAACTTGAGGGGGAGTTTACAAATCCACCTTCCTCCCTCACCACTGCACACTCCTTAAGTACAGAGACTGGCAAGCTTATTATTTCATGAACAGATATTTCATAAATAATTGTTGAATAAATAAGGAAAACAGACTGCTTAAACCATATACTATATACATTATAATTAACTGTGTTTTCAAAAAAATAACATCATCTAAATCTATAGATTAAAGAGGTTCAGAATAAGAGAGACAATAGCTGTGTTCTGTCCTGCACCCTCATCAGTGATTCCATATGGATTCCGGAATTTTGCTTACTTTGGGTGCTACATTGTTAGTGATTTATTTCCTTTTTCAAAGCTACTATTTTAGAATGCCCAGGAAAATATATAAGTACAAAAACATTTAAATTGTCAATCTTCCTAGTACACAGAGATAATAATTTTAAAATTATACATGCATCTGTTTTCCAGTCTCTATCTCAGACTTTTTTTAGTGAATATCAACATTTCAAAGTGATAGTAACCATCTCAACTGTGTAACTGTATGTTACATGAAGGTGACAAATCTAGAAACAATTATTAATATAAAACAGAGGAATTAACTGCTTTTTTTCAAAATATAATTATTATCTGTCAATACCTACAAAGCTACCATGCAGAAAAAGAATTAAGGTCCGACCTACAAGAGTTTTGAGAGTAGAACTCATACCAAGGGCTATATGAAATTGTGTTTTATATAAGATAGAACTTTATAAATACTAGAGCTTTGTGAAAACTGAAGCAGCTTCTTCTTCAGGAAGTAACTCTCCATGACCTGGAGGTAAATAAACTGAAGCTAACTGCCAATTTGTTGAGAATATTAGAGAAGAAACACACAGCCATCAAATGACTCCTAGAGATAACCAGGGAAGTTCTTCCACTATAATAGTGTAATGGTTCTATGACAATGATTTCTTTAATTAATTGTTGAGAATAATTTCAGTTCAATTGGTTTCTTTTACTCTGCAAGAAATACTACATTAAAGGATAATCACTCATTTTGTAAGACTCGACAAATACATGTAATATGTCCACTGTGCAAAAAAAGATAAATATATGAAATATATAGATATAGAATATATATATTCTATATATTCTATACATATATATATATTCTATATCTATATATTCAAATATAGATAGATAGATAGATAGATAGATAGATAGATAGATAGATAGATAGATAGACAGATTCAACAGAAGGTATGTACCACAATCTTCACTGGAGTAATATCCAGAATAACCTCAAACGGAAATCAGCCAAAAGTTCCTCAACAGTAAAATAAATAAAAATGATATGTTTACTCAATGAAATAATTTATAGCCATGAGAATGAGCAAATCGCCACTGTATGTAACAACATGGATGCCCAAACATCAAGTTGAGGAAAAGAATAAATAATATCAGGCAAAACTAAGGTAAGTGAGGATAAGAATTATAAGTGATTTATAAGTGAGGATAAGGGTCACACTTGCAGTGGGGTTTAATTCAAAATAGAATAGAGGTTCCTGCTGATTTTATCTGCCTTGATCAAAATACACAGATGTTTAATCTTTGAGAATACACTGGACTGGACATACAATATGTGTTTCTGTATCTATGTTGTAGTTCAATACAAAGATGTAAAAACAGTCTCTATGTCCAAGAGCTGTCTGTATTCAATGCTATCAAAACATCCTCATGGTAAAATCCTGGGATTTACACTTTTAAGAATTTGAAGCCCTAGGACTGTGATTGACTAAGAGCATGTAAAGAGTGTGAAGGGGTTAAATAATTCCCTGAAATCTTATGAATGAATATATATGTGCTTTGGTGACAAACACTCGCCCTGAACTGCAGTCACACCTTCATATATTTCCCCTAAGTGGTGCTGCAACCCAAATGTGGTAACTACTAATTATAGATCTTGTTTAGATTTGTTTGCACACTGCTTTAAAAATGTTGGTTTGTTTGTCGTGGGAACTCTGGCAGAAGTTAAACCTCTAGACTGATTTAAGCATTTTCAGTTATGGATAAATATACAGCCAACTTAGTGTGCTTCTGAAAAAGCATTCCATTTATTTAGTAAAGTAGGTGTGTTGCTCTATAAGGTGACAGGCCACAGTCACTGAGGTCATCTCTATGCAAACGAGACCCCCAGCTGCCGGGTTCTTTCTATTTCTCAAAGCCAACAAAATAAGTCAGGACGTTATTCCTAGAAAAAAAGTCAATGCTGTAATACGTGATTTACAAAACAAATTATTTGTAAGTATTGGAAGCTTTGTTCTGTGGCAAAGGTCAGCAAACACTTTCTGAAACTGTCCCAACAGCAAATATTTAGACTTTGCAGACCATAATGTCACTGCCGCAACTACTCCACTATGCTCTTGGAGAGTGGAAGCAGCAGGTAACATGTAAACAAAGGCATGCAGCTATGTTCCAATAAAACTTTACTTACAAAAACTTTGAGTGGGCTGGGTTTGACCAATGTGTGATAGTCTTCACTCCAGTTCTGGGGGATGGGGAAAAGCATTCTGATTTTTTTTTAATTTTTGCTTTCCCTTTTCCTATGTGCCTATAAGACCAGTAGTGTGGTCTCTATTTAGTAGCCTCTAATCTGGGATAACCAGAGTTTTGTTTGTTCATAAACTCTTCTCAAGATTAAATTTTAATGAAAACAATCCCTTTAGCATCCACAGACTAACAGAAATGCAAGTTTCTTAGGATTTTTGCTAGAATTCCTCAAGGTCATCCTTTAGAAAAAATTTTTTAAAGATTTATTTATGCAAACAGGAGCTGGGGCACAGGCCAGAGTTGTGGGAGGTGAGAGGATTCACCAGAGACAGGTTGGGGAGCAGAACAGGTGGATCTACTGAAATACACTGCCGAGGGGAACAGCAGGTGAGTCAGGAGAGGTCTGCTGTGCCATGTGGGTAGAGCTCCCTGTCCTGCGGGGGATCAAACTCATGCTGCAGAGGCTGGGGATTGCTTCATAGGTTGCGTTTTAACCCCTTGCGCCACCAGGGAGGTCCTTAGAAATATTTTTCCAGGCTCTTTTCTTACTCACTATTGACCCCTCAATGTTTATTCACATCTTTACACAAAGTTTTCTCGATGCCTGATGTTCCAGACTGGGATCTCTGGCCTCACAAGATACCCAAGTTTCCTCCTTTATGGCACTTACCACAGTTGATAAGCCACTTAGCTTAGCTGTGAATAGGCCAGGCTCCAAATCCAGACTGCCTGGAATGAAAGTTTATCTCTGAATCTGTTATCTCTGCAATATGTCAAGTTATCAACCTCTCTGTGCCTGTAGTATGATAGTGACATACTACGCAGCAGTGTTGTGAAGGTTATATACTAAATACATGTAAGGCACTTATAACAATTCCTGCACATAGTAAAAATTAGAAATAATTAAGTAAATAAATAACTGAATAGTCATCAATTCAGTTAGTTCAAAAACTACTCACAAGGGAACTACATATGGCATGTCCACCGTTAGAATATGTGGTCCATAAATGCAGAGTTACCACAAACTTAGTGGCTTACGATAACACTGTCTATTAGCTCATACCCTGTAGGTCATAATCCATGGACACCCATGTTAAAGACATCATAAGACTGGTGCTGGGGTGTTGGCAGAACTAGGTACCTGTCTGAAGACTAAGAATGAATCTACGCTTAAGCTCATTTTGTCTCACTCTTGTTATTGGCCAGACTCAGTTCCTCAGATTATAAGATTGTGGTCTTATAAGATTGTGGTCTTACTGTCAGACAGTCAGCGCCTCACCAACTCCTTTTCTCTTGTAGCCCCTTCTTCTTTGTGCCAACAATGACGCATCAAAATCCCCTCAGGCTTTGGATCTCTCTGACTTCTTCCTCTACCATCAGCCAGAGAAAACGCTCTGCTATTCAAAGGCTCACAGGCATACACTACACCCAACTGGAGAGTCCCCCGTCTTAAGGTTAACTATGCCTCACAGCACAAACCAGCTCACCACATTCAGACTCCAGAGAGTAGGGCAGGAAATCTTTGGCTGGGGTGGAGAGGAAGAAGGGGGTGTTCAGAAATTCTTCCCACCACAAAAACATAATGAATACTCGATAAATATCATGAGCTCATCATAACCTGACCTCATGTTGATCAGAGGTTCATACTGCTCAAACTAAGTGTATTATGGTTGAATAAAGGATGTCTGCTTGGTAGAAATATTTTTTCTAAAAATGGCATCTATAGAACAATATTTTATAATAAATCCTTTAAGACTCAAAGTGGGAGCAATTTTCTTAACTACTTAGTATCCTCCCAGTAAACAGTGAATGTGGATTCCTTCCTTGGTTCATTCATTCCACAATTATTTTAAAAGTACTACCATGGGCATTGTGCTAAAGCTTTGGTGGAAAACAGGAGTGAATACAGAGTCCCTACTCCTACAAAGCTGACAGGTCAGGGGGAATCCACAAGGGGAAGTGAATGTGCAGGCTGGAGCCGGCCGACATGTCTTCAAGCACAGCCCCACCTCTCTCCAGCCCTAGCGTCTTGGTAAGTGACTTAATACTCTGATTCAGTTTTCTCATCTGTAAAAGGTAAACAACATATTATGTATTCATAGTATGTTGGGAGGATTAAGTGAGCTAATTTAATTAGCTTTCTAATATCTGATATCCAAACACTTAAAACTTTTTCTGGCAACCTTGGCACACACGACACTGTGGGCCAGGAAACTAGTGGAGGGTGCCCTATGCACTGTGGGTGTTTGTACGCCACCATCCCTGGTCTCGTCCACTAGATTCCAGTAGCACAACCCTCTCCAACATTCCTCCCCAGTTGTCAAACCAAAAGTGTCTCCTAAGGGCAAAATCACGGTGGTGACTGAGAAGCACTGATGTAGCACATGACGAATGTCTGACCTGTATCAGTTGTCACTGTGTTTAATCATTATCTGATATTGAAGGGTAGAGATATAACTCTTGGCCTTACTTGTTGATTAAGGAACTCTCTATGTGAAAAGCATGCAGTGTGATATTTTGCAAATATGAAAAGTAAATTTTAGGTTCTCCCTTCCCAGTCCTTAAAAATGGCATAAGCCCCCAATGCAGTTCCTTTCAGAATACTTTTGTTTATTGCTAATAACTTTCTTTTCAACTTTGTTTTTATCTTTATCTTTCTAGTCTATTAGCCCACTCTGTAAACTCTCATATTATAACTTTGCTGCAGGTCATTTACTTGTAGGAATGTTGTCTCACATGGAATAATCTGAAAAGTAGAATAAAACCATTCCTGAATATGAAATTTTACCTCCCAACATTCCTATAGGAACTATAAAGTGGCTTCAACTTTCTGTGGTTGTTTCAATTACTTTTTGTTGAAAATCTCCCTAACATACATTAATTTTTTGCTTTTACTTAGCAGCGACAAGCTTCGGCAACAACATAAGTTGTCTTTGATGATTGATCATTGGGTTGTAGAGGCACCAGTGTCCTGGGTATTGATCCTTCTTAAGCATAACTGTAGATGTGTGAGGTTGGGATGCTGAGCACAAAGTATAACCTGAAGGACACTTTTCTATTCCGAATCATCAATCTAGATTTGTTATCTTGTCACTAGCTTCATCCTCAAGTGCCAAAAATATATCTGCTATTGAAGGCTTCAGATAAGTTGTGCCTATTTGGGATTATAATGAAATATTGTGTCCTTAAACTATCTCTTAGGAGCATTAATTGCTAGTAAATATTAAACTCAAATAAAACATAAAGGAGATTAAGAACCAGTGCGTGGGAAATTTATAATATCGCAGGCAATTGAAGTCAGACCTGGTATTCATTGGAATTGGCCAACGAAATGTGAGAATAAGTATCTCATTCTCGAGCAGAAACTTTATAATTAGCATGTGGTTCACATCACTATCCTCTTTTCCTTCTGCCAAGTGATTGGGAATACTCCAGATAGAAACTGATACATTAGTCTAAATCTTGAAGTATAGATGGTATGGACAGACTTAAGGTATAATGAGAAATAAATCTCCAGTGCTGTGTTTGTCACCACAGCATAACGTAACATCTACTAGATGATAATGTAATAATAGTGATTCCTTCATTGAAGAGCTTTGCACTCTCTATACGTACACCAGGTGCAAGAGTAGAAATGTAGATAAAGGCATAAGTGAAATATTGATTCCTTAGGCACTCACAGTAGAGGAGATGCAAATACTTACTAAGTGGAGTATGAGGTTACCTGAAAGTTGCCCTCCAACTGTATTTCCATCCCTGAATTCTAAAATTGGCTGGTTCTCTATGACAAGGCAGAGAAGAGCAAGCATTATGTAAGGCCGTGAGGTAACACCTTGGAAGCTCGGGCAGCTCCATGAACTTAACTTACAAGGTGGTTATCTTTCCTTCTGGGAACCAAAATCCACACCAAGAACATGGACGCAAACAGCTTCTGTGTTCAACTGCAGTGGAGAAGCCCGGGAGCCTGTCAGCAAATGTCCTTCTCTCTACACCTTCATGGGGAGAAAACAGAACCCTGCTCTGCAGCCTACAATTTTCCAAACTGTGAGTGGAAGACACGCTTCCCTGCCACCTTTGCTGCCACCCAGAACAGCTCCCCAGGGTGTGCACACTGCTGTGTGTCACAGGGACGAAAGGGCTGGAAAAGGAACCACCGAAGGAATAAAAAATCCACTTTATTATTTGGCTGTGGCCTGCTTTTGGTTTTCCAAGGAGACCGATGTATGGAAATGAAGCAATGAAAGCAGCATGATTTGGGTCTTCTCCCCTAACAGGGGGAGGCAACATTTTATGGGTCTCATAAAAGGGTTTATGAGGCTTTGATGGGAAGTTGGCCCACAGTGACCTGATGAAAAACAGCTCTTCTCTGCACCCACAGAAGGGCTGATGGCAGCAGTGTTCACTCGGAGCTAAGGCAGAGCAGGGCCAAGGGAGCCAAGGAAAGGGGTTGCCGAAATGAACATGGAGGTAGAACTTAGCTCCGATGTCAGAACTAGGAAACCAAGATTCTGGGGGAAAAGGGCGGGGGGCTGAGATGATTTAATCCACTGAGCACACTTAGCGGTGTCTTTTCCTCCGAGTTCACCAAGTGATCACTTTCCTCCCCTGCCTCACTCTGCCTTGATGACTAAGAGCGTGAGCTTTGAAGAGCCAGGTCCTGACTTCATATTACACCCCCTGCAGTCATAATTTACTAGGCGTGTCACTTCCAGTGAGTACTGAACCTGTCTGATCCTGTGTTTCCTCCTCTGCATTTAGTAACTATTAATGAGACTATTTTCACAAAGTCCTTAAAGTGATACCCAGTACACAAAGACCATTTAGAAATGAATGACCATTCCCTCAATGATCTAGGCTTAAATTCAGTTCTAATATCTGTGAAAAACAATAAAACTAACCCAAAATGGAGTCACGTATGCTAAACCCCACATCACCAAACAGAGATTTAATTACAGTTTCAACTCTCCCAACAATGGAATCTTATACCAATCAGGAATGGTGTGACCACCACTAGTTAAGTAATCTGCCTGAAAGACCCTGCCATCCTCTAGAGGAACATAATTTTGCAATAACTCTGAACTACAGCCCATCCTATGGTTGTCTGCTAGTGTCCAAGAATCCATAAATACCCCTGGGGCCAGGAGTAGGTTTTCACCCTAACAGTCGTTTTCGAGCCTGGCAGATTTGTATTCATAGCAAATGTTCAGTACATGTTACCACAGGGGTGGTAGGGTAGATGAATGGAAGGTGACAGACTCACATAACTAACAAGCTAAACTTTCTATTGCAGCATATCTTTGATGGCATGTAGGATAAAGATTAATTAAAAACCCATATTGATAGTTGCCATCAGCTACACGTATTTTCAGTTGAGAAAATATACTTAATTTTTACCTCTAGCAAAATTATAAGGAAAAAAATCTTTTCAAGGAAAAAGTAATTGTTGCTCACAGCACAATGGTTGAAACACTGGGGTTCTGTGTATTGTGTATTAGTCACACACCTGAAAGTCTCTGGTACTTCTATTTCCTCCCCTGAACTCTACCAAGTTAAAGTAGAGAGCCTCCAATTGTCTCTCTGGCTCTGGAAAAGTGTATGTCTGTCTTGCATCCTTCCATACATAGTTTGGAGCAACATATTATATTTCTTCAAAAAAGGAGAAAATAAGAAGGAAATTCCATGGCACACCCTTAACAGAGTCATTTGCCAAGGTGTCTGGGAACAAAGCAGAGTTCACACCTACCAGTGGGCTGTTTTAGAGGAAATTCTGAAAAACGTATTTAGGAAAAAAGGAAGAAGCCATTAGTAGCTGCAGGTCTAAAATTCTAAAAGTCTCTCTGAGAACTTGAATTATACTGAGTAGTAGTTCTAGGAGATTATTAACAGATGATAGATGCCTCTGTATATAATACATACGCACATACGTCTATGTGTATGTTTATATCCACATTATCTCATTGTATGTATTATAGATATACTTACATATACATGTATATACGCACACATATTTATACATGTGTATATGCATATGT